ATCATGGCCTCGTCGTCGTCATCATCATCCTCGCCGACCATGCCATCGTTATCGCCCACCATCACCTTGACATCATCAATTTTCGTGTCTTCTGCCTCGGCAACAGGCAGCGTGATTATAAAAACAAGGACGAGCGGTGTGGCCACGACCGAGCTGAAACGCGAAAACCACGATTTGTCGGCCCATTCTTGCAATGTCGGGAACATAACCTGAGCGAATTGTTGTAAATAGAAGCGCCATGGCGACGGCAGCGACACTGGTGGAGCCAATTCGTCCACTATGTCTGTCAGAAGCAAAGGCGGCTTTAGATCCTGTTGTTGTGTTATGTCATGGAAAGATGAATCGTCCAAACAAGGCATACACGGCATTTGTTGCGGGTGCGATAATGCGGTTGGACGCGGTGTTCCCGCATCTGACGCGTTTGATGCAGACACGATGTGAACAGGGTTCAATTCTGGGCTCTGACGCGCCGACACAAAGCAATCATAATCTGTGGAGCTGGCGATGCTTGGACTTGGGGTCATGACGTGCAGAGAAGTGGACCCTTGCGGGTTTGGGGTGAGTGCACTAGTTTGCGGCGTGTGATATTGCTCGAGCAAGGGCGGTGCAAGGCGAATCTCAGGAATGGGCATCTCGGGCTCACGCTGAATATCAATAATGGGTATAGGCAGCGGAGGAGGCGGCTGAGGCACAAGCATTGCTTGTGGTTGGTGCGTCGAAAGGTAAGCAAAATAATCCTCGGCGATCCCCGTGCTACTGTGATTGCTATCTGGCGTCGTCGCACGCATCGCATCACCACTTGATGCCGGCGCTGTAGGCCGCAAATGATCCGTCACCGTCACAGCACGCACACGTCCACCATCGGGTGGCATCGTCCCCGTCGCAAGCCCGTGGTGCCGGTGCCAAATATCTTGCGGCATCGACACTTGGCGCCGCCGATGCTGCTGCTCACTCGGAGAAACCTGAATGGCCGACGCCATCACTGGCGTCTGCATTTGCTGCGAGCTGTTGGCACGCCGAATCGCGCTCACTTGGCTTTGCAACTTTTGAGAAAAGAAAAAAAAAGATGCGTGAGCACCATTTTATCCCTTCTTTTTCTCGTTTTTTACCTCAATGGCGCTAAACAACGATGTGCGAATGCCTACACGAGGCGTCATGGCGCGCCGATAGGGCCGCAGCGTGTTGATGGAGCCATTGGTGCTTGTGGTGCGCGGCAAATTGATAGATGGACGCCGGCTATATGGTATACTAGTCTCAATGTGCAACGACGGGCGCGACGACAATGGAGACGTTGGCCTGATAATATGTCCAAGATGTGGCTCATACTCAAATCCAGTAGCTGAGAAGCCTTGCACAGGAATGTCCAGCCGAGGCGGACGCATCCCAGGCTTCCCTGAGGAAAAAAAAAAAAGACAAAGAAAAGAAAAAAATATACGCGTTAATTGCGTCCCATTTCCTGCACTGAGGATGCATTCCTACCTTGTGCTCCTAGCAGCTTGGTTGTTTCGTCCATGACGGGCACGGACGAATAGAGCGCTTGGTCAGTGGGTGTTTTTTGCGCAAATGGCCAGTCGTAGGAGCTGATCAGGACAGTGATGACGTAAAAAAGGTAATACCCGATGAGAGCAAGGCCGTGGTACCAGTAAATCTTGCCGTGGTACACAATCCATGACAGCAACGAGATCGCGCCAGTCAAAAAGGTCGCATCGCGCATAAATGTGATGCGCTTGGACTGGAACGGCCGAATGATCCCCATGCTGCCTGCAATGACCGAGACCACGAAGAATGCGGCACCAATGATCTCACCAATGGCCATTGAGCCCGAGCCATGCTGCATGGCACTGCACAGAAAGCAAAAAAAAAAAAAAAAAGGCATAAACACGTGGCTTTGGAAATTTCTCGAGCTCGCTGTGCTTCGCTTCTCTTTACCTGAACGTCCCAAACAAATCAGGGCTGCCATTGCCGAACGCCAAGACCGTGACGCCTGCCTTGGTTACAGGTAAACAAAGAAGAATGAATATAAATACAAGAAAAAATCGCAAAAAAAAAACGACTTACAAGGCTCTCTGATAGCTGTAGTTTGGCCGCAATAGTCTGGAGATTCGGACCTAAAAGAGGATGCGTGGGTAAGTGCGTAAAAAAAAAAAAGAGGCGCCAGGCAAAAGGGTTTACAGAAGAAATCGGATGCAACGACGCTGATCGCGCCAAAGAGCAGGAGCAGGCCAGAAATCTAGAATGCATGACAGAATCAGAATCAAGCCAAGTGGACTCCGTTTATGCGCTTGCGGCTTTACCAATGCTGTCAGCAACGCCGGCCGCCATACAGGCGTGCAATAGTAAAATTCCAGGTACAGCGCAACGAGTCCCTTGCAATTGTCTCGCACATAGCCACACTGGTTGGGCTGCTGGTCGATATTGCTGCAGGTCTATGTGTAAAGAAAAAAAAAGGAGGGGTGGGCAGGGCGGGCAAAGAAGGTCGACTGAGAAAGGCGCAAAGTATGTGTAAAGAATAGCGTCTTACCCGACTGTTGGCGAGCAAAGTCACCGTCGGAGGCCTCGAAAACCATTGGATACAATAAATAGCAAACAAAAAGGCAAGCCCATATGCGACAGTGCGGGAGGCTCCCATGGCAACGAGGCAAAAGGTGAAAAAGTGAGAGAAAAGGAAAGAAAAAAGAAGAAAAAGAAGGGTTTTCACGGAATAAAGGGGGTGGTTCGCAAAAAAAAAAAAAAAAAAAAAAAAAAAAGGAGTAGGGCTGGCGCGCTGTCCAAACGCATTTCGGGTTGCCATGCAAATGTAAAGCAGCCGCTTTTGGTCATCAAACCTATGAGAAATGCGCGCCGGATTCAGGGATGCCAACAAATAAACAAGCAGGCACTCATCCACGCCATCAAGCCGCCGGCACCACCCGTAATTGTGTCTAGATGAGACTTCAATTGACAATTGAACCATCACTCATGCAAGAAAAAAAGCGAGAGTGAGAGAGAGGAGTGTGGGCAGATGGTCTCACTTGTTGACATCAGACATCGTCAAGAAAAAACCTTGTTCCTGCTAATTTGGCTTCATTCTTCATGCCATTAACTTGCCTCCTATCTTTTGTAGGGCATAAAAAAGGGGTCTAATGTGGCTCAAGCCATGCCAGGGGGTAATCGGATGTCATGTTGCTCCACATTTACTTTTCATCAATCCATTGGACCCGTCTGTCTCCTTTTTTTTTTTTCTAATCTGAGAGCGATGACTGGGCACATCGACTTGTATCGCAAAGATCGGCAAATGCTTGGTTCTGGAAGGCAAAATAGTGACAGGTTGATGAAAGACGCGTCGATTAGGCCTCCATTTACCCAGGACGCGTAAAAGTGGCGATGCCAGGTTGCTCTTCCCTGACTTTTTGTGATGGCGCGGTGTCAATGGTTGGAGGCAACCACGCCCAATCCGAGTATTTCAAGCGATATTTTTTTTTTCTTTTGCTTTCTTCTTTTTTTTTTTTTTTTTTTTTTTTTTTTGCGTCACTATGCGCGTGAACGGGTATGTAGATGCGTGAGTAACTGTTGTCGTTGTCTTTCTGAAGACACCATCGAAAATTTTATCGAGAGCAATGGCAAGATGGCTTGTGTGCCCTGCTTTTTTTTTTTTCTGTTTTTGTACGCCCACGACTCGTCCCCCACGCATTGGGCTCAGCCAATCAGCGGATTCGACCGGTTGATCAAAAGTCGTGCGGTGGCCAGCGTCCTCTTTTGTTTTTTTCTTCCCTTTCTTTTTTCACCCCATTTACCACCATGAGGTAGGCATCCATCCATCCATCCAGCAAACACGCCATCCATCCGTCCATTTCATGCATCCATTCGTTTGTGGACAAGCAGATGTGCCGGATGGATTGATGCGCGCTTTTTCTTGAGACTCAGTATTGACTCGTTTTTTTTTTTCTTCTCTCCTACAGTAAAGTTAGCGCTAGCGCCGTCAGAGATGTCATTGTCGAGATCCAAAAGGGCTCGCAAGAGAAGAAGCGTAATTTCGTCGAGACCGTCGAGCTCCAGATTGGTCTCAAGAACTACGATCCCCAACGCGACAAGCGTTTCTCTGGCACCATCAAGCTGCCCAATGTTGCCCGCCCCAACATGTCGGTCTGCATCCTCGGTGATGCTTTCCACTGTGACCAGGCCAAGGCTGCTGGCATGGAGTTCCAATCCGTGGACGACTTGAAGAAGCTGAACAAGAACAAGAAGCTCATCAAGAAGCTCGCCAAGAAGTACGATGCCTTTTTGGCGTCCGAGGCCCTCATCAAGCAGATCCCCCGTCTCTTGGGCCCTGGTCTCCACAAGGTCGGCAAGTTCCCCACCCCCGTGTCGCACTCCGAGTCGCTCGTCGACAAGGCCAACGAGATCCGTGCCACCATCAAGTTCCAGCTCAAGAAGGTGCTCTGCTTGGCGGTCGCCGTCGGCCACGTCGGCATGACCGAGGACCAATTGGTCGCCAACATCATGTTGTCGGTCAACTTCCTCGTCTCCTTGTTGAAGAAGCACTGGCAAAACATCAAGTCTTTGTACTTGAAGTCCACCATGGGCAAGCCTCACCGCTTGTTCTAAGCGGACGGCGTTTTAGCCTCCCTCAATTGCTTTATTGTGCCCTCTATGTAACTTTTTGACGGCGTTGACCAAGGTATTGGACATAGGTGCCTCTATCATTGGGAGCGTAGATGCTCAATAAACAATTCCCTTTAAATCATCATAAAATTTTCAGTGTTCATTGGGATTGACGATGAAGGGCAGGTATTATTTTATTTTTTTCACCAGGCACCTTGCTGTCTTGGGCATAATGTAAAGCGCATGCGTCAAAAGCCAGCGTGGGTCCACCACACATCGATTTGTTGGCACGTTTGAACTCAGAAGAGCACGCGCCAATTGAAAAAGAAAAAATTGCACGGCCCGCTCGGCCGCCGTCGGCTAAATTATTTAGCCGATTTCATAGATCTGAGTTTCCAAATTTGCCAGCAAACGTTTTTGCCCGTATGGTCTAGGGGTTTATGACGCCAGCTTTACACGCTGTATATCCCGCGTTCGAATCGCGGTATGGGCATGTTATTTTGCAAATGCTGATTCCAATTGTCTTCTTGATTTTTTTTTTTTTTTGTCTGCATTGAAACAATCTCTATTGCTTTTTATTTTTTTTGTCTACAACCTCTACACGGGAATACTTTGTTGCTGTTGCTTTATGGCACGCCAAGGTTCCACTACGGAAGAACGCGACTGCAACAGGGTGATCAGCTGCGCAAGCGCAGCTATTAAGAAAAAAATGTAAGCAGCAAACGAAAAAAAACCTTTTTTTTTTTATTCTGTAATACCTGATATAATACCTGATTTTGTCTTGCAAGTCGCATAAGTGCGCGTTCCCGATCTTGCCCATGCAAAATCTAAATTCGAGCTGAGTCGCGTATTCATTAATGTGGCCGTGATCGAAACCGTCATTGATCAGGCCCTGACGAAAAAGAAAACGTTGGACAGTGCATAAAAAAATAAAAATTTACCATGTATTTTTCAAAGTGGGCATCCAAATTGAATACATTGTAGGCCGAGACGTCCACGCCGGGAGTTTTTGTCGCCTTTTTTGTAGAAAAAAAAGAGATTTTTGTCCTGTGGTGCGCCATCATCTTCATAATACCATAATTTGATGGGGTTGTTGGGACTTGAGGTACACTCGGCCACGTCCTTCATTCCGGCGACTGGGTACGCGGTGTAGACTTTGGAGAGATAAGCGAGTCAAAGAATAGGATTTTCATCAGAAAACATGATATTTTATTGAAAAGAATAGAAAAGAAAGGGGAAATGCATAAAAATGGGCGTGCGGCCGGCACGAAACTCTCGACCAGAGTTCAAACGCCAGGCACGTTGGCGCTACGCGCTGTCTGCAATGCACACAATGTTCATTGACGCGCCTAGCTTCCCACAATTAGCGTGCCTGGCTGATCGAGCTCATCCTTCCCGTTGTTCGCACGCGGCATACGTCCAAAGAGATCACAAAGCTCCACTGAAAAAAAGAGCGATGCTTGGGGCCTCCATTGTCAGTTAGATTGGACACCTTCCAAAGGCTGGCCTTCCGCTCGTCGCCAAAAAGCCAAGAGACACCTATAAGGACGTGGTACAAGTCCAGCATGTCCCAATTAAGCTCGCACCGAAAATGATCGTGGACATCTTCGCGGTTCAAGACGCGCAGAAGCTCCGTAACACCATGAGCGACACGCGACGAAGAAAAACATCACGAAAAAGGGCTCCTTCGTCCACGTAAACAGTCGAGTGCCCAGTGATTGCGACCATCAAATACGTCCTTTTGCAGGCCCTGCGCAATTTTGAACGTGGGACGCCCTTGATGGGAAATAGCTGATGTTTTGAATCTTATTGTGTCGTGCAAATTCCCACAGGTAATCAAGTTTTTTTTCTTTTTTATTTCTTTATATTCAGAAAGGACGGATACCCAGGCCCTTGCGACAATTGTAGAAGTCAGGGTACATATTGAAGAACTAACACAAAAAAAAAAAGGTTAGATTCATCGGGCTGGGTGCAGGTTGGTGCTTACCTTGATGTTTTGGTGCTGTTGCACGTTGTTCCAAGGCGTGGGGTTATTTTTGCGGTCCACCAAGATTTCAGGATGCGTGCGCAACAGATACACTTTGAAACAAAATAAAAAGTGAGTCACTCGACGCGCTCATTTCCCTTTTTTTCACGCGCCGTTCAAAGATGACTTACTGGGATAGCTGTGGACGTCCAAGGTCAAGGTAAAAACCGAAGCGAAAGTGAAAAGAGATGAGCGTCTCCCTTTATTTACATCTCCTTGTCGTTTCACTTACGTCACTGCAGCAGCGCAACCACCACCGGCGAACAGAAACAAGGGACCTAAGAATGTAGAGCGTGAGTCACACGCTGGACGCGACTCTTTTTTCTCCTCTTTTGATACTTACCCAAGGCAGGATTAGCACGGACGAAAGCAAAGAAACCCATTGTAGAAGAACACTGATGTTTGGACAAGACAAAAAAAAAAAAAAAAAGAAGAAAGGATACAAAAAAAGTCTCCTATTTTTATATTTGCTTTTTGGCTCTCGTCTTCATAATTCTCCCACACGGGTCACAAGACCAACATGCACCACGTAGAGGCAGCCCCTTAATTTTTGAACGCCTTAATTTTCCCATCATGCGAAAAATGAATGGCCGCCCATATTGGACTAAAAGCTTGTTTTATGTTTCCACGACGCCAAAATATTCATTGACACGATTTAAAAATCAAGATGGACACGTCATGGGAACTATACGAGAAATTGACAACCTTGGCTCTGCTCGAATTCCACTACAGCTAGTTTCAAAGCCAAAAAAAAAAAAGCCCTTTTTGGTACCAGAAGCTATTCTCAGGGCGGCCGTTCACGATTTTCCTGAGAAATACGACACGTAGGCATGCACATCGAGCTATTTTTGATGACGAAAGAACGTACGAGGCATTGCAGTGGATACCCAACGTCATTTTCAAAAGAAAGAGGGTAGTCAAGCTCACTGCGAGAGCCTGGTGTTTGGGTCAGTGGTTGTGCAATTTGATCTCCGACATGCACATCACTGGACTCTTCAACAGCTGTGCCCTCACCACTTTGTATTGCAATTCTTTCTCTTTTCATTCTCTTGGTGTGCCCTTGTCAATGAAATTCACAGATATTACTTTGCAATTGAATTTTCCCGGAGCACGCTGCGCCGGCATTGCTGTGAGAGACAATTCAGAGTGTCCAGAACAACCATATCGCAAATGTTACGTAGCAATTAAACACGCCTCTTCTCAGGCCAGATGGCGATGCATCACAAGAGACTATTATTAAAAAACGACGACACTCATCATGCACTTGGAAACCACGTATCTGGAACGGCAGAGGACTTGAAATGGCAGCGAAAAAGCTAGTTTACCAGGAAAAAAAAATTGCAGGCGCATTTTGATGCGTAAATGATGGAGTGGCGCCAGCCCACAGTCGCGGAAGCGCCCCAATTGCCTTGCTAAACAAAAAGGAGACGGGCATGGCTGGCCATTGGCTTATTTTTCAAACGCAGTGAGGCCGCCAAACCCAGAAAACAAGGTCGTTCTTATTTATTTTTTTTCTGTCAGTGACGATGGTGGTATCCAAAAAAAAAAAGATGCGTTCTATTGCTTCATGGGCAAAGGTGGAAGTGTGATTTTCTGCTTGTCGTCCGAGTCAACGATGGTGCCGACTTGCTGATTTATTTGATAAGAGTGCTGCTTGGCAGACGGAGGACTTGCCTCCAGCTGGGGATTGATGTGGCTTGTGAGGTTGTTGCGCTGATTCTCGGATAGATGATGGCCAAATCTAGACATGACATGGGTCATGTACGATGGGTGTGAAGGGCCAGACATATTTTATGAAAAAAAAAAAGAAAAATACAGAAAGAAAAAGCGTGGCACTTGGCTTCATTGCCACCGATTATAAACCAGATAGTGTGTGTGTGTATATGTTTGCCCGGAGAAACACCCTTTTTTAGTGGCTAAATTCTATTTTACAGCCAATGGGAAAATTTGTGGCATTTCAGGAACCTTGTTTTATCCCAAAAGTGAAAAAAGATCGCACGTCCGCTCCGCTATCGTTCTATTTGCCTTTTTCGTATTGCGTCTCAAGTCAATCGAGTTCATGCACACAGACCTGAGCTGCTGCGCACTCGCAATTGATGGTTTTTATTTAATTTTTCTATATTTTAGATGTTTTTTTGTCTATGAAGGGCAGAATTCGACGGTGAAACCCTTTGAGCCACAAGAGTAGACGCTCGTGGCGTCGTCATAGGCGTACGAATAGGCATCGGGGCAAGCTTGCTTGGCGGCGGCGGCGTAGCGGCTGCCAGCGCAAGTTTTCTCATCGTAAGCGCCCGTGCAGCAATATTCGGGTGTTTGAAAATGCGAGCAGGCGGATTGGCAGCCGACCGTGGTGCCATTGTCTTGGACCGAGAAGCCGTCGGGGCACGAGGGCAGCGAGCTGCACACGGGCGTGCCACAGTGCTTTTGGACATTGTAGGGATTGTCTGTGATGGTGGTGGGAGCCAAGGACATGGGAATGTTCCAGCCGTCCACTAGAGAGATGTCGTACATGGTTTCAGCCGAGGGATCAAAGTGGAATTCGGCCAATGTCGCAGGTGCCCACATGCCAGCAAAATCACAAGTCTTGCCCTCGCAAGATTGGCGTGCCCACACACGACCTTCCCACTTGCTTGGGTAAGTGAACGTGTGTGTGCCTTTGGACGGCACGGATGTCGAATCGCCATATTCATTGCCATTGGTAGATGTGCCAGCCACAATCGAGTACGAACAGCTATTCTTGACAGTGACAAAGGGAGCATTGGTATCGCGTCGCACGGCAGGGAGACCAGCAACCAGGCCGCAGAACAAAAGAGAAATCAGGAATTGCATGATAAATGTGTTTGTGTATGAGTGATGAAGAAAAAAAAATGAATGATCTATGAACAAAAAAGAAAAAAGAATTCGGCTTCTGTTCCTTTTATACCCCTAGGTCTCGAAGCCATTTGACAAGATAAAATCAAATTCCGTTTTGCTACATGTCAAATAGCATCACAGGGCCCTCGTCAGGTCCCAGGACAAGAACAGAAAATCGAAAAGTAACAAGTTTCAGAAAAATGATAGCGATTTTGGCAATCGCACCGACATTTGACAAGTTTTGCCAATTCATGCAGTGACTGGATGCGTTTGGGCGTCGAAAAATCATCAGAGTGGTCTCGACCCATAACAATCTTGGCTGTCATCGAATGATTTCCTGGCCCTTTTACACATTGCCAATGGGCGCATCTTTTGTCACACCGTGCAGGGGAGGATGAAGCGACACGATGATGGGGCCCATAAAATCGAAGGAACAGAACAGAGCGCAAGACGTCATGTCTCTCTTGTCAACTTGAGACAGAAAAAAAAGAAATGAAAAGAAAAAAAAAAGACTGATGTAAAAAAAAATGGCACAGAGAAGAGTGGCAGAAAAGCAAGACAACATGACATACAAGCAGATGAGTGAGATTATTTTACAAAGAGGTAAGATAAAA